TTATAAAAAAGTAAAAATATATAGGAGGAAAATATTTTTTAGGTATTTTTACTGTAGAAATAAAGTAGAAAAACATTAATTAAAAAGTGAAATAACTTTTACTAGTATTCTTTCTTATTAATAATCAAATAATAACACATACAAGAGGCTCAAAATACAAGATGTTTCAATAAATTTTTAATCAAAGTGTCTTGTGACTTAAATTGGCCACATTGTAGAAACAGAAAATATAAAAGTTTTTAATTTTTACCACATCTGTCTCCCTATATAATTTATGACACAATATTTAATTTGAAAACAGTTCAACTCGAGACAACTGTTTATCCAAAAAAATATAATTTTTTTGATTTTATTTCAAAAAAAAATCTCTTGTTTGTTACAATTAATAAGCAAGGTTTCAATAAACAATTCCGATACTTTCATTATTTATAATTCCTTCCTTTAAGTCGCCTCTTAATTACAAATTTGCTCCACATGAATTCAACTCCCTGTGGGTTTGCAACCAACAAAAACCGCAATATTAATAATTGAAACAAGTAATTTATTCTATTTGCGGTTTGATATCTCATGGCATGTCTAACGATTACTAATGGCATTGCAATATCTTTTTTTATGTCACAATTATTTTCAATGTCGCGAAGCGCTCCTTTTGTATTTTTTTTCGGTAGTTCGCGAAAAACACCCATTCATGCGTCGTTGTTGTTGGCAATGATGATAATAATTAAAATTTTTTTACACACGTTCATTGTTGGATTACTCATCTCGGATTATTCCATCTAATTAGAAAATTCATAATTCTTGCACGCCTTGGATCGCTTTTTTCTTATCTGGAGGGCTTCTCGACCCAATTCTCGGGGAAAGACCCGTAAATATCGAAAGAGTGACATTGACTAGTGGGTCAATTAAATGGGAGGTCACATGCGTGCGATGTGTAATTTTGTGATTAATTACAATGTGAAATAACGAAATGGAAATTCGTTGAATTACCGCAGAATTTCGATTGTCGAAAGTTAAGTTGAATGAACGAATAATCAGATTATTTTCGGGAGGAACTTTTCCCCGAGACGGACTATTTTCAGGTTCAATAACTCGTTAATGGCGCTCTTAACTTAATTATTTAACGCTCATTTGCTTAACAAGATTTTCATTATTTCGGAGAATATCATAAAACATTCAGGCTGCAATTCGACGAACGACTGGTTGTCATAGGGGTCATCATTCTAACAAAACGAAAAAAAAAACACAAATTTTGTTAAAAAAAAAAGAATTGAATTCTGAGGAGCGAGAACTCCATCTGCAGATCAAGAAAATGAGAGACACCATCGGAAATTGCGCCAACTGTTAATATTTCCCCTGATAACAGAAATAAAAGACAAATTGGTTATTTAGATTTCAGAAAAAAAATGTGTTTCCTCATTTTGGAATAAATGAAAAAACTTTTGAGTTGCCAGCATAAACCAACTAATTTTTTTGCGCTCTTTTTATTGATCTTGATTTTTATTAATGAATGATGGCATTGAAATTAGTGGGTCAAATAAGTTGAAGAGGTCAGGAACACCCACAAGCACTGTAATATATGTAATTAATTATTTCTGCAATAAAATATTTCTTTTTTAAAAAATAAAGTTGGCCTTTCAACTGACATGATTCACCCTATATTTAGCTAAAAAAAAATAGAAAAAAACTAACTAAAATGTACATTTTTTTATGGGAAAAACTGTCCCCTATGACCTTCGAGTTTTCGTTGTTTGATAGAAAATAAAAAACAGTTTGCAATAATGTTTTTATATTTATATTTAAATAAAATTTTGCATATAAAAATTTTCATTTTTTTTAGTTTATCAAATCTGGCAAAACCTTTATCAAAACCAGAGAAGTTTTGTAAAATCCTTCAGGGAGTTGATTAGTGTTCAAGAAACCGGAAAATTCCGGGTTGTTTAGAAGTTATTCTCGAATCTGTTTTTCTCGAAATTTGCAATTTTCTTAATAAAAATTATCTGCAGAACAGATTCTTTTCCGACAAAATATGGTTTTTATATAAAAATAAAATTGGCCTTGCTGACATGACAAAATTGAGAAAAAAACTAATTAAATGGTCGATTTTTTTATGCAGCTATCGGCTAAATTGCGTCTCTAGGAAAAACCATAGTTCCTATGACCCCCGGGTTTTCGTTGATCGATAGACAATTATTTTTGTCCTAGAGCCCATTTTTTTTTTTGGAAAAGAATTTTTGAAAATAAAATTTTGCATTTGAAAATTTTTAATTTTTTTAATTTATCAAATCTGGGAAAGCCTCTATCAAAACAAGAGAAGTTTTAAACCAAATGTATGTAAAATCCTTCAGGGAGTTGACTAGTGTTCAAAAAACCGGAAAATTCCGGGTTGTTTAGAAGTTATTCTCCAATAAAGGAGACGCCTGTTTTTTGGAAATTTGCAATTTTCTTGATAAAAATTATCTGCAGAACAGATTTTTTTCCGACAAAATATGGTTCTTTTGAAAAAAAATTGGCTTTTCTGACATGATTCACCCTATATTTAACTAAAAAAAAAATGAGAAATAAACTAAATAAACTGTCGATTTTTTTATGCAGCCATCGGCTAAATTGCGTCTCTAGAAAAAACTATTGCTCCTATGATCCCCGGGTTTTCGTTGTTCGATAGACAATGAAACGCAGTTGCGATCGTGTTATTATTTTTGTCCTAGAACCCATTTTTTCTTAGAAAAGAATTTTTGAAAATAAAATTTGGCAATTAAAAATTTTCAATTTTTTTAATTTTTCAAATCTGGCGGAGCCTTTATCAAAACAAGAGAAGTTTTAAACCAAATGTATGTAAAATCCTTCAGGGAGTTGATTAGTGTTCAAAAAACCGGAAAATTCAGAGTTGTTTAAAAGTTATTGTCGAATAAAGGAGACGCCTGCGTTTGTTGAAATTTGCAATTTTCTTGATAAAAATTATCTGCAAAACACTGATTTTTTTTAGACAAAAAATGTTTCTTTTGTAAAAATAAAATTCGCCTTGTTGACATGATTCACCGTATGTTTAACTAAAAAAAAGAAAAAAAAAACAATTGAATTGTCGTTTTTTTTATGCAGCCATCGCCTAAATTGCGTCTCTAGGAAAAACTATGGCCCCTATGACCTACGGCTTTTCGTAGTTCGATATAGAATAAAACGCAGTTTGCCATGATAATTTTATTTTTGTGAAGCCAATTTTTTCTTGAAATGAAAAAAAATTTTGAAAATAAAATTTTGCATTTGAAAATTTTGACTTTTTTATTGTGTCAATTTTGGCAATTCCAGCAGAACTTAAAAAGTTTTGTGCCACATGTATGTAAAATACTTCACGGAGTTGCTCGGAGTTCAGAAAACCGGAAAATTCCGGATAGTTTAAAACTTATCGTCAAATGTAAAAGTTATTGGCTAAAATATTAGCAAAAATAAAGTCTTACAGAATTATCAGAAAGTAAACTGCGTCTCTAGCTCCGGGTTTTTGTTGAAACTGGGTTTGCGATGGTATTTTAATTCTTGTTGAGTTATTTTTTATGAGAAAAAATATGAAAATAGATTTTGTTGATTTTCGAAAATTTTGACTTTTTTTATTTTGTCAAATTTAGCAAATAAACTAAAGAAACTGAAAAGTTTTGAATCACACATATGTAAAATCCTTCAGGGAGTTGATTATTGTTCAAAAAACCAGAAAATTCCGGGTTGTTTAGAAGTTATCGCCCAATAAAGAAGTAGCAATAATTTTGGAGTTATTCATTTTGAAAAATTGGCAAAAATAAAATGTCTTGTCGACAAAAATGTTTTATTTTCTGAAGAGAAATATCATTTTTCACAATTTTTATTAGACAATAATACAGTTAAAAGAAATACAAAAAATTCAAGCAACATTTAAAATATGCACAACTTCGGCCACATAATCCCTATCAGTGACATAAATCGCCCTCTCTTGCTCGACATCAGCCCCACTTTTCTCCTTCTCCTCCCCCTCCTTGACTTTCTTGAACGACCCGTGGTACTCCTTCGCCCCCGTGTGCTCCACAATAAACCCCAAATTCTGCTTATTGATCCCCCCACCCGGCATTATACAAATCCTATCCCCCACTTGCTCCATCAAAAGCTTAATCAACTTAACCCCCAATTGCGCATTACTCTGTTGCCCACTGGTCAAAACCCGTTTGAACCCCAGATCGATAATAACCTCGATCTCAATCGTCGGCTTTTTACACACATCAAAAGCCCGGTGGAAAGTCACCGGAAGCGGCGAGCACGCCATGATAATCTCCCGGCATTGCTTCATCTCCACTTCCCCATTCCCATTCAAAGCCCCGAAAACAAACCCATCAGCGCCGTACTTCTGCAGGATTTTCGCATCCCGTTTCATTATTTCCACCTCTTCGGGCATGTAAACGAAATTCCCGGGCCGGCAACGCAACATGCAGAAAACTGTAATCTCCCTTGAGTACTCCCGGATTTGGGCGAGCAATCCCGGAGTCGGCGTCAACCCGCCATCTATCAGCGAAGAGCACAACTCGAGTCGCGACGCTCCGCCGGCAATAGCGGCCACTGCCGACTCGTAACTATCGACGCACACCTCCAACAACATTTTTTCTAACCTAAAACCCGGATTTTTACCCCGGAAAGTCCCAGTTTCGCACTTGTTGCTCACACAAATTAGACACAAGTGGAGTGTAACCCCCTTTATTGATTTAACTAAGTACAGTCAGTTAAAAGACGAGATACTTTGCACCGACATCCGGAACCCACCACCGGTATATTTCACTTGAGCGCCGTTTTGGTTCACCTCTCGGCTAGACTCATGTGCGAGTTTTTGTAATCTTTGCGATTTTTTCTCCGCTATGTATTTCTTTTTCAACTCGTTGAGTTCCTCGGTGACTCTTTGCAAGTCCGATTTGTACTCCTTCGCCTGCAGCTCGGCCATATTCAACTCAGAAACCAAACACTAAAAGAAAAAGTCGCAAAAGGGTCACAAAACGCACAAGTACCTTCAACTGGTCCCCACGACTCTTCAACGCCTTCTGTGTCTTTGTCAACTCCTCCCGGATTCCCGGGCCCGGCTGCTTGGCCAAAACTTGCTTCAAACTCAAGTACAATTTTTCCGCTTCTTTCAACTGACGTTCTCTTTCAATCGCCTCCGAGGATTGCTTAATCAAACGTCTGGCAAATATTTTATATTACTCTTTTGTTATATAATTCTTGAAAGTAGTTCTCCTTAGATGTGTTACGTGAGCTTACTTTTGCAATATTTGAACTTTTTGTAAGACATCGAGCAATTCCGGATCGGAACCTTCGAGTTTCCTCCATCTATGGATGTTCATCGGGTTTTGCAACTCCTCCTCAAGGGCACGACATTTCAAACGCCACTTCATCAAATCGCGCTCCAAGTGGAACACCTCCTGCTTCAAATCAATCGAATTCTTGATGTTCTTCGAGAGGAGACTGTGCTCCTGTCTGAGTCGCTTGATCTCAATCTTCAACAAACGGATGTCTTCCAGTCTTTGGGCGTACTGGGACTCACCTAGAACCAATTTTAGCAAAACCAAAGAACCAAAAACCACAAACCTCTCTGAAGAGTCGCTTGCAAAATCAGGATCTTCTCGTGCAACAAGGCAATTTCATCGTTCCTCCGCACCAACTGTGACCCCAAAATGTCCCTTTCGTTCATCAACTGTTCCAAATCCTTGGCTTGTTCCCGAATCAATTTCTCATTATCCATGATTTGCTTGTGCAAACGCTTCTCCTCCGCGTCCTTCTCCGAAATACTCTCCTTCAAATTCTTGACTTGTTCGAAGGCTTGGTTCAACTCAACTCTAGAACAAGTTTGAGTTTGGTCAAGACACATCAACACTCACTTCAAGTTCTCCTTCTCCTTTTGCACCTTTCTCATGATGTTCTCTTCTTTGATCAAGAGTTGCTCCTTCGTGGTCACGTCCTCTTTCAACTGCTCGATTTGGTGGTTAGTAATCTTCAGTTTCTTCTTCAATTCGCCACTCTCAGCGTTCGACTCTTGCAGCGACTTCTCCAGAGCGTTTCGCTCGGACCTGACTTGGTCGTAGAGATTTTGCTGCATCCTTAACCGGTTTTCCGCCTCACTGATATTCTTCTTCAAGTCATAAATCTCGGCTTTCTTCAACTTGATTTCGTCCATACTATCTTCAATTTTCTTCGTCAGGTTTAACTGTTCTTCAGCAAGACTGTTTTTTTGTCGTTCAAGAGTTACGATCTGTTTGGCTTGTTTGTTGGTCTCGATGATGAAATTGTCGAGTTCGGCTTCAAGCTTTTTCTTGCCTTGTTCCTGGATCTTGATCAGTTTGTGTTGGTCCTTGTTGACCGCTTCAACCAGAAGTTAACACTTTTAGCCCAGTCAAATTAGTCAAATCGGTGGAAAAAAATTCTAGAAGTGTCTTTTTTGGTTTTTTGCTTATATTTCGGAAACTATCACTCCTATAGGTTTTTATCTTCTTATCAAAATTAAAGCTTACAAAATTTCCTACAAAAACGGTCCTTTGCAGGTTTGTTGTAGGACTAACCGTAAGCGAGTTATAGGGCAGAAAAAAACCATCATTTAAAAAAATGTGCTTTATCTGCATTTAAAACAGAATTAGTCTTGTAATTTGAAAAAAAAATTACAGTAAATTGAATTTACTGGGTCCAATACTTCTTTAAAGGAAGGGGGAGTCACGAGGGTCTATAAATACAAATTCATCGTTTATGTAATTTATGCGGAATTTTCTGTATAAGATTATTTCTGCATCAAAATTTCCTACAAAAATGATCCTATTTATTCATTTTTGTCGTAGGACTAACCGCAGGCTTCAAAAGTTTGGAGTCCACATAAAATTGCATTAAAAATCCTTTGAAACACATTTCATTAGTATATGATAAGTATTTAAATGTAAGGCTCGGATTATATGCAAAATGCATATTTGTTATTAAAAGGTATATCAACAAAATTGTAAGTTTTCTATGCATATCTAAGGTTTCTGATTAAAATAAGCTAAATAAAAAATGCATATTTTGGCAACTTGGTGCATATTTTAGGAAATATTGCATATTTGTGCATATTTTCTTCATTAACTAATTTCCGATTAAAAATTTCAGTTAAGTTAAAAATTGGACAGTTTAAGAAAAATAATCCGATTACAAAATATTTTAAAGAGAAAACAATCGATAATTCCTAAGCCAAACTCAAAAAATAGTACCCTGCTGAGTGTTTCGTTTTTAAATTCGTTTTATACTGGGTGAATATAAAGTATTAAACCAAACGTTTTTTATTTTTTAAATCAAATCAAATGTTTACAAAAAATAATAATTAGTATATAGATTAAAGTAATATAAAAAAAATATTTTTTTAAGAACAAAATTTTGTTTTGTTTTTGAGTAATTCTATTTTTGTTGTCTAAATTGCGATACACATATGTAAAAAAAATAATTTAATATAAAGTAGATAGTCGTAATCCCTTAGATCATGACCTTCATGAGAAAAATGTTTTTTTTTGGTGGGTTGCCATTTAAAAAAATAAATATTTTTGTAGAACTCAAAAACAAAATAATAAAAATTTTGAAAAATTTTATTTTTGATAAAACATTACATTTCTATAGAACATTATAATTTATCAGTTAGTTTTTTCAAAAAATAAATAAATTTTAAAAAATAAATAAATGTGATCTGAAAAGTACAGATTTCTTAGAAAGGGTTAATTACTATGTTATTAAAATGACTTGTCTCACGCCAAACCAATTTATTTATTCTTTCATTTATCCTGTGCAGTTCAAGATAACGAAAATAAAAAGTTTAGTGTATTCGAGGACAAAAATTTATCCCAATTTTTAATTGTTAAAAATTTTGCATATCGATGCATATTTGGCATATATTGGAGCATATTTTTTATTATTTTGTGCATATTTTTGTGAAAATACGTGCATATTTTACGAATTTTTCGTGCATATAATCCGAGCCTTATTTATATATGTAGAGCGTTCCCCAACTAAGGTGGTCAAAATTTTGGATGAAAGAGGGAATCAATCTGTAAGGGGGTTAAATGGGGTGTAAATGTTTAAACAAAGATATAAACATAATTCTTTAGAGGAGTAAAGGAGCACTAAAATCAGATTTTTCGAAAATTAGTTTTTAAGGGAACAAAACGGTGTACACACATTTAAAAGAAATATGATCCTTAGAGAGTGTAGAAGTGCACTTTTCAAATTTTAATGAAATAAAATAGATTTTAAAATTTAAAAACAAAATTAGAAACATGAAATTTATAATTTTGAGAGTGCAGAACTACACTGAGACGACACTTTATGAAAATCAACATTTAGTCTTTATCTATTTGGTTTTCAATGTTTAAGTTGAAGACGAAGATGCAGCATATGAGGACGACTCGGAAAACTTTATAGACTCTCTAATGAAGTGTTGCACACAATAAATTCAATTTGCTTTCAGTTTTTTCAAATCACAAGATTAATTCTGTTTTAAATGCGTATAAAGCAAGTTTTTTTTAATGATGTTTTTTGTCAGCCTTATAACTCGCTTACAGTTAGTCCTACAACAAAAATGCAAAAGACCATTGTAGGAAATTTTGTAGGCTTTAATTTTGATAAGCAGGCAAAAACCGTTAGGAGTAATAGTTTCCGAGATATAAGCAAAAAACAAAAAAGACAACTTTAGCCCCCTCCCCCTCCTCGAGCTCGCCCCCCACTTTTGGGCACTTTTGATATATGTCTACCAAGAATAAAGAAAGCATTTTAAAAAAATTCCAACTCTCTAGGATTTTTTTGCACCGATTGCCCTATTTTTGTCTATTTTGACTGGGCTATTTGGTGTCTTAAAAATTAAAATACCTTCGTATCGGGCAACGCTCTTGGATATAATATCCTTCTCGCGGGTGATATTCTCATTCACTCGTTTCGTATTCTCGTTTTGGCGTTTCAAGTCGTCGATTTCTTTCTCAAAGATTGCTATGCGTTGTCTCAATTGGTTTCGATCAGCTACCATTTCCGTTTTTTCGCCCTCTAATAAGTACATCCGCTTCTCGAAAATCTCCTTCTGTTTGGTGACTTTGGCGAAATCGGCCCTCAAATGCGCCAAATCGTCCTCAAAAGTCTGGAAAAACAGTTAGAAACTCACCCAAACCCAAACAAACCTTAATATCGGTCAACTTCTTGTTGTAGCTCTTTTGCAGCTGTTCCAAAGTGTGGTGTTTGGCATTGAAATCCTCCTGTAATTTGGCGTATTTCGTGGAAACCGTCTCATAATCTTTGTTAATTTTCTCTCGCGCGACTTTTTCTTCTTTGATTTTCTCTTCGAGTTTTCCGATTGACTTCAAATGGGAGGCGATTACGGCGTTTAGATTGGACACGTGAGTGTCTCTGTCTTCGATTCGGAAGTTGAGTTCGGTTATGTCACTCTCTAATTTGTCTCTGATGCGTTTAAATTTCTCGGTTTCGTTCACTTGGTCCTAAAATTGGGACTTGAGAGCAGGCCCGTAGCTAGAAAGAATTTTGAGGTAGGGCGCCCAAAAATTTTAGTGGAGCTAATGTAACTAATGTTAGTGAAAGGTTCTAAATTTCATTATAAAAAAAGAAAAGATGCACAATTAATCAAATTTAAAAAAATTAAGGATGTAATCTTAAAATAATAATAGTAGTATACAGGGTATTCCGGCTAAACTCCACATTAGAAGTTTTGGGAGTTCTAACAATGATGTTTATCTAAAATTTTGTTTGTAGCCGTAATCGGTTAGGTTCTGCGTAATGAAAATATTTTAAAGATAGCGGCTCTTACTGATACACCAGAATTGGATATCAACTTCGTTATTTTAAATAGAAGTTGAGAGATTTCATAAGCCTTCCCTATTCCTAAATTTAAGTGTTTTCAAAATATTTAGACCTTTTTAAAATTTTTTGGATTTGAATCTTCTATATTTGGATATAAAAGCGAGAGAGGTTAGATCTTTTCTCTGGTAAATACATAATTGGAAAAATAATTAACAAACCACCAAAATGAAAGGAAACTTTAAATAACTTAACTCAATTTTTCTAATGAAACACCCCATTTTTTTTTCACTAAGTGGAGGAGAATTTAGTTTTGCTTCGATCTGTGTTAACATTTCTTATGCCCATGTTTGATAGTTTTTAAGTTATAATAACTTCTTTTGGTATTGTGAGAAATTCATTAGCCATAGCTACTTTGCACAGGTTTTATAGAAATAGAAAAAAATATAGAATTTTAAAGTTAGTCAAATTTAGATTATGAAAAAAACTTGGCGTTTTTTCAGTGAGAAATATTTCCATAGCAAATTATGCAAAAACTACGATGGATAGTAATAAATTTCTTCTATTGTACAAAAAGTCAAAATAACTTGGAAATCATTAAATTTAGGTATAGGGAATGTTATACAAATCGATGCAGAATTAAATTCTCTTTCATTTAGTCAAGAAAAAATTGAGACCTTTCATTAAAAAAAAATTAGTTACGGGTATTTTAAGTTTACCAAACGTAACCTTAAATTTTGGAGGTTTGTTAATTATTTTTCCAATTATAAATACAAGAAAAAAAAGGTCTAACCTTACTTTTTCAAATGTCCAAATACGATTTCAAAATAATTAAGATGCAAATCCAAAAAATTTCAAAAAAGTCTAAATATTTCAAGAACTGTTAAATTTAGGTTTAGGGAAGTCTGATAAAAACTCTCTCAAAATTACTTGAGTAATCCAAAAACGCATTATAAAACATAACTTTCTATTTAAAATAACGAAATTGATACCTATTTCCGGTGTAGACGGAAGTGTTGCCATCTTGAAAACATTTTAATTAAGTAGGATCTAAACGATTATGGCTACAATCAAAATTTTAGATAAATTATATAAATTATAAATTTAGATAAATTATAAGTACCTAATTTTTTTTAGTCTGGATTTTATTCAATTGCTATAATTGCTAATACAGACTGAACCAAAAATAAGGCACAAAATTCATATCTTTCTTATGAGTCATTTTTTAAAAATGAACAGGTCGATTTTAATTTTTCAAATGGTATATTTTGACATTATAGTAACATTTATAACGTCATTCGTTTTTGAGTTGTGAGGTCCTTTTTAATTTTTTTTAATGACAACTGGCATTTTTGTTCACTATTTTAAATAGCACACATCCTTGTCTTTCTGGTAATAAAAAAAAATAATGAAATTAAAACTTAAAAAAAATAAATTAAAAAAAAATATATTGACAGTTACACACAAAAGGCTTTATCTTTTTGTTCTTGCCTTATTTTATAAAGGGCAATTGTTTTTTGTATATTTTTTTA